AAGGGGGGAATAGGAATTACGCGATGATGCGAAAAAAAACGAGAAAGGGGTCAACTGCCGATACACGGTTGACCTCAGCATGCCGCGGGGTTGAGTTGAGGGAGGGGGCCCCAGAGGGGACCGCGCGCGCTGTCAATGGGGACCGGGAGAAGGAGGGGAGGGAGGGAGTAAAACGGTGACGGAGGGGGGAGGGGGAAGACGAACCACGAGCGAGTGGAGGTGATTGCCAAGGAAAGACTGATGAAGTCAGCCAGAAGTAAAGGGGGCGCAACTAACCAGTCAGCGGGCCGGAGGGGGGAGGGGAGGAAGGCGACAACGGCTTAAAAAGGGGCTCGGCTACGAAAAGATTGCTCAGAACTCGAACTTGAACCAAGGGAATGGTGGCTCTGAAGGATCGGGAGTTCACTTTTACAAAGTGATGTACGACGTGATGTACGACGTAATGGTAACTGGTTGAAGTATCGCCCTATCCCTATCCCACCTCGGGAAAGTTGCCTAATTTGGCAGGGTTGGGTTTCCCCATCAGGAACGTGTACGTCTTCTTGCCGGCGGCGATGGCGAGGCGCCTCAACGACGAAATGACGTGACGGAAGCCAGCGCTGCCCAACGTGCCGACCTGGAAAAAAACGAGTAACACAAAAGAAAATGGTAGGTTTTTGGGGACTGATTTTAGGGTTTTAGGGTTTTAGTGATCTGCAAAATGGTAATGGTCTAATGATGGTAATGATCTAATGAGAGGCGAGAATGGTAATGGTCAAAATGGTAATGATCTAATGAGAGGCGAGAAGGAAATGGCGAGCAACCGTACCAAAGGAATCAATTCCCATAGAAAAAGGGTAGAAATCGGAAGTTTTAATAAAAATGCTTTTTATATTTTATGTAAATCTAGTTTAAATTGTAGGTTGTAGCTAAAGGTTTTAGTTGTAACAGGTTGCAAGTTTTTGAAATGTTTAAAAAAACGCCGCAAGAGCTCTCACCAGCAATCCCACGATATTGGCGCTCCGTGCCCGTTCTACCATAAAGTTCCGTCGTCTGAGCAGCCGTCGCGTATCTTCCGATAATCCCTGCCGTACATCCCCGCCAGCCGCCGGGTCGTACGACAGCCATTCGCACGTGCTGTGCGTAAGCTGTAGCACCTGATGCGTGCTACTGCCGTTGGGTCCAATCCAAACATATAAACAGTGACGGCGGCCGACACTTGACGGTCGCGACCAGCTGAGCCCCGCCACACTACATGTCGTACATGCGTCGCAACCTCCGCGATCGCCGCCGCCGTCAGCTGCTGCTGTTGCGGAGGCAGCAGCATCAGGTGCTCGGCCATCGCCGAGAGCCGCAGCGGCGGCAACTCCGCGACAACGGCCGATATCAAATCGAGATCCAGATTCACACCCGGATCCAGATCCCGCCGTACAACCTTCAACTGCCGTACAACACCCTCCTCCTGACTTTTCACCCCCGCCTGCTTCATCGCCTGCTAATGCCGGTGCTACAGCCGCGACACACACAGCCGGGGGTCCCTCCCGTGCCGCCGCCGCCACCTCCGTTGCCGCCGCCGTCGCAGCAGCAGCAGCACAGCAACCGCCGCCGCCGGCAGCGCCGTCAGGCTGCTGCGATGTCGTGGATGGACTCTGTTGCTGTCCCGGCGGGCATTGCGGCTCCAGAGACCTGGCCGCCAAGCTGGCAAAGATCCAGGGAGGCCGAATCCACGACATCGCCGATGATCCTGGTCCTGAACCTGCTGCTGCTGCTTCACCTTCTTGGGCAACAACACTCTCCCCCCTTTTTTCTCGGCCTCCTCCCCCTCCCCCTTCCCCTGCTCCTCCTCCTCCTCCCCCTCCTCCCCCTCCTCCGCTTTGTAGCGCCCGACGCAGCTCCTCCAATCGGTGCTGGTAGCCCTGATCCAGAAGCACCACTACCCCTGAAAACCCCGATGACGATGGTGATGATGACGCCGCAGATGTATGTCGGGCCTGCGCTGCCGCCGCAACGGCCTGCCGTACATCCGCCGCCGTGGCGGCGACGTCAAGGGAATCTTTCGGGAAGACGAAGAAGGCGGGGAGGGAGGTGACGGGCGCCAAGGAAGCTCTGCCGTAGTGAATCTGGGAATAAAAGTATCGGGTTGAGATCGGGGGAGGGACCATAATAAGGACATGTGCAATGATGGAGCAGTTTAAATGCGATGGAAAGAATCTTGGGCGGGCGGTTATATAAACATGCAAAAAGCAAAACATCCTGGCATTAACACCTATCAAGGCCTCGCTGCCGCCAACCCAAATCCTCTAATACAATAACAAATACACCCATCAAACACCAGCAAATACCTCTAGAGATGAATATCTTGTAAACATATGAACACAACAGTACCCGCCAAACTCACCACACACTGCGCATTCAGATGCTGGGCTGCCACCTCATCCACACCTAAGGGGTTGTAGGCAGTGTCAGCCAAAATGAATACCTGTCGGAGACCAAGCGGGGTAGCCACAAAAGGGATGGAGGGGGGGAGAGAAGAGGGGAGCTGGATTTTGAGGTACCGGGGAGTGGGGAGAGTTCCAGAAGGAGCGGGAGAAGAGGGAAGGGAAAGAAGGGCACTAAATGTCAAGGGGAAAGGATGCATGACACCGCTTCCGCTGCTGCAGGGCAAAACGAGTAAACAGTGTGTTATCGGAAAACGATAACTGGCGACCTACCCTTGCTTGACCGCCAAGGCGCTGCTGCAGCAATTCCGACACAGCTGGGCTGTCGGGTAACAGGTCATCCGGAAATTGCAGAGCCACGCTGCGGTAGCTGCCTCTGATGATGTAATCTGCCGTCTGTTCCACATCGTAACGGGTTGCCAAATCTGAGGCAGGCATTGCACTCAACCGTCGCTTCGGCCGCCAACTTCCGATGCAAAAGTCCTAAAACAAATAATGCAACGATACAATTTACTTTATATAAAACTGGAAAAACCTTTATTCCCAATGTCCATGCAAGGTGCGCCGCCGGGAAGGGGGAAGCGGAGCAAGATGTGTCGGGCTAGATGAAGGTTCTATAAATATTGTCTTCACACATATATTCACTCAGGTTGGCATAAAATTGAAGTCAATTTTATAATACCTTGTATTTACAAGATTATTCATCGCGCGAACCAACTTTTGTGCCGTTCGCAGGGTGCAAGCAAAGCTAACATAATTACCTAGGGATCCTCGCATACTTATTTTCCTCACCTTGTTCGACATAGCCGTGTAACTTTCGTTTAGGCCACTATCGTAGCCCTAGCTTGTCCTCACGACCCATAGATATCCCGAGCCGCCCGACCCAACGAGATGCATCCCGCGGATCTCTCATGGACACGTTAGCATGCGCAGAGGCCACGTGCCTGTGGCTTACAGAGAAGTTCACCAACTGTCAGGCGACGCTGCAAAAGCTTGAATCGGAGGGCAAGTCAGACCTTAAGGTGTGCTTGAAAGGCTATGAGGCCTGATTATTGAAGACATGATCTTACTTGCTTCCGTTCTCTGGCGTTGTCAGCTCGCGCACAACCTTCTCGTCGTTGAGCACGCCATCCTCGGCGGTGCGGAGGCGGAGCGCATCGCCTCCCAGCTCGAGCTAATCTCGGTAAGCCCATTCGCATGAGCGTGTGGCAGCTGCAATCCCGCCCTTGTGTGAGTACACCTGCTGTCCGGGAAGCGCTCCTGTCAAACGCTCACCTTCGTGGCAAGGCGACCCCCAACCAGCCTCCCCATATCCTTTAGTCCGCGCGTGCTCGAGTCTCGTCTGGGACGGTTCGATATCCATTTTCCGCCGAGCCGCCGAGTAACCCTCATTAACCCGTAGTTATTTTCACAACTTTCCGCCCTGTCCCCTGACCACAGCTCTGGCCAACATGTCTCGCGATACATTCTCTACTCACACAACCCCTCGCAACCTTCCTTTCCCCCCCCCTCGCTTATCCAGCCCTCCACCCGTCCCCCCTGAACCCCCTCCTCCCACCCGTTCTCTTTTCCCCTTCTCCCCCCATGCCTTCCTTGCAGAATGACAAGCTTACAGCCGAAGAGGGCTGTAGCGGCACCCCGGCAGCCGCCGCCGCTGCAGCAGCAGCAGCAGCAGTACCTGCTGCTGGCGGCGGTGCTGGTGAGACTGGAGGCAGCTCAGCCTCAGCAGTAGCCGCTGGCGGGGGCAGCAGTAGCAGCAGCAGCAGCACTACCGCCATCGCGAGCCGGTCCCGTTCGTCCAGTAATTTGGAGCCGCTGCCGCTGGTCCCCGTACGAGATGACTTGGCGATCGCACAGCTTAACAGGGTAAGGGTGTATGTCACAAAGACAGACAGACAAACAGACTGACAGGCAGACAGACAGACAGGCGGGCAGGTACGTATTTAGGTAGGCAGGGCGAGGCGGGCACGCAGGCAGGCAGGCTGACCTTACAGATAAATAAACAGACAGACAAGCAGGGGGGTAGGTGGGTGGCTGGGTGGGTGGGTGGGTAGGCGGGCGGGTGGGTGGGTGGGTGGGTAGACACACAGAAAGCGGACGCAGACTAGGGTTTCCCTCCGGTTTCCCCCTAACAAAAAGTACTTAAAGGGGGGAAGAAAGGGTGGAGAAAGGGGGGTGGAGAAAGCGGGGTGGAGAAAGGGGGGAGGTTGCTGTTTGCAGCCCTCATGCCCTGAGGTGAGGTGATGTACATACAGCAGCCTCCTGGTTTTGGTGCTTTGGGTTTTTTTTATATAAAGGTCGTTCGTACTTGCATGCTGTGCTCTATGGTGCCTTTAGATACGGTGTTCAACAACTCCAGATCAGCATCCATCCTAATGTGTTTGCAATTGACCCAGAAGCCTCCCACTCTGTAACAATCAATATGCAGGGAGGATCCATGCAACGCAGAGGAAATCATTACCTTGTATTTTCTTTGACGGCAGCCATTACGGTCCCATTCGCGTCTCTTCCCCGACTCCCTCGCCGCGCTAACGCGCACCTCTTTCCATGGCAGAAAACCTTTCACTCCCTCGCCGCGTTACATTCCCCTCCCCTTATGTGTCCCGTTCAGGCCGTGTTGATGTACCACAAGCACCGATACGCCTCCGCCGCAGCGATACTGGAGCCGCTGGCGGCCAATGTTGAAGCGCTGGCGGAAGGGACTGCCGTACGAGTGCTGACGCTGCTGCTGGACATCTACATCGAGGGCCGTCAGCTTCCGCGCGCCGTCGCGCTGCTGTACCGCTTCGAGCGGCTGTACGGCACCCTGGCGGAGGCTTACGCTGCGGACCGGCCGCCGTACACGCCATCGGTGCCGCCGCCGGTGCAGCAGCAGTACGGGCAGTACAGCGGCAGACCTGGCGGCGGCAACGCCAGCGGCGGTGGAGGGGGGGAAGCTGTGAGCGGCGACGGGGGGAATGCTGGGGCCGGTTCTAGAGCAGCCGCAACGGCAGCGGGAACTGGCAGCGGCAGCGGCGGCGGCGGCTGGCGGCCGCGCACATTAGCGCTGCCGCGGGTATCCCGGTGGTGTACGACAGCCATGGAACGCAGCAGAGCACTCCTAGACGCCACGGTACGACACCACGTTTGGAATATGACGATGAAAAAACGAACACTTTGGGTTCTTTTTTACCTATTGCCCTTCATTATTTTCTCAATGTTTGCAATGCTTTTACACAAAAGACGATAGACCTGTAGCAGCACTGCTTTGTTGGTGCTGATGGCGCTGGGTAAAATTCTTTGTCGTTGGAAGAATCGATCTTTGTCAAGCTTTTTAAAAATATGTCCTGATCAGGAAAGGCTCTTCCCCCTGCCGTTGGACCGCTGGTTCACGCCGTGTCGGTGTCACGCCATCTTTTTTTCCTTCAGGACCGTCCGCTTGCCTCCCCCGACCTGAAGCTCCTGATTAAGCTCTACCGCACCCGGCTGCACGCGCTGGCGCACAACACCCGCGCCGCGAAGAGGGAGTTGAAGGCCGTCTGGAGCGCCCTGCAGCAGCAGCAGCAGCAACAACACCCGCACACAGTGCAGCAGCAGCAGCAGCAGCAGCAGCAGCAACACCCGCACACAGTGCTGCAGCAGCAGCAGCAGCAGCAGCCATTGTTGCCGCAGCAGCATGAGCCACTGCAGCATCAGCTTTCCAGTCAACTGAATCAGCAGCCACAGCAGCAGTCGTATGAAGATGGCGACGGTGGTAGCAGCGGCGGCAGCGGCGGCCCTACCTCAGTCCCTGCTGCGTCGCTACCGCTCTTGTTGTCCGCCACAGCCACAGCCGCAGCCACAGCCGCCGGCAGCAGCGGTAGCGGTAGCGGTTGCAGTAACAGCAGCAGTAGCAGTAGTCCCGGCGGTGCGGAGGCGCTGCTTCTCCAGTCCGTCCGCGCCCAGTTGGAGATGTACAGGGGCCGCTCCAGGAAGGCGGCAAAGCTGCTGCTGGCGATGATGCAGGTATACTGGTGGTGGTGGTGGTAGGGAGGTGGTGGTGGTGGTAAGGAGGTGGTGGTGGTGGTAGGGAGGTGGTGGTAGGTGTTCTCTTTGCGTGTGCTGCTATGCTGTTCGCCACACCTCCCCCTCCCGGGGCCCCCCCCCCTCGCAGCAGCTTCACTCGTTCGTGGTTCGTCTTCCCCCCCACTGCCGCCCTCGCCGGCCGCAGTTTCTCCGCTTGTGCAGGACCCCGCGCTATCCGGATCTTACCGGCCGCTGTTGCTCAACAACTTGGGACTCGTACATCACCAGCAGGGAAAGCACGCCCTGGCGCTGCTGTACTTATCGCAGGCTCTGGCGGCGGCGTCAACACAGACAGCGGCGGCATCTACGTCGTCGGCGCGGCCGCGGCTGGGTTCTGAGACAGAGGTGCAGCAGCAGGGGCAGCAACAACAACAGGGGCAGCGGCAACAACAGGGGCAGGGCGCCGGCGGCGGCGGCGACAGGGAGGGTAGCGGTAGTAGTAGTGGGGGCGCTGTGCCGGCGGCGGCGGCGGCGCCGTCGCCGGCTATAGTTTCGGTGCCGGTTCCTGCGGTGATGTACAATGCGGGCCTGCAGCACTTGATGTTGCAAAACTACCTGGCGGCTCGGAGGTGTTTTGCGGCTGCCGCCTCGCACTACGTGAACACGGTATGTGGCGACACGGTGGGGGGTAGAGGGGACGGGGGGGGGTGAGTGTTGGACATATGTAAGGCCCGGGGCAACGCAGCCTTCTGGTTTTTGTCGCGGTACACCCGCGGGTTTCTTCTCCTCCGGCTCAGCACAGCCGGAAGTCGTTCCTTTTTTTCCTGCTCATGACTTCCACCTTCTCCCCCCCACACACACATATACACACGCACATACACACGTACATACACACGCACATCCGCACGTTCACCACACCTCAGCTGTATAGGAACCTCACTCCGACAAGCTCCGTTCCCTCCTCCTTATAACTCCTCCTCCTCCTCCTCCTCCATCCCTTCCTGTGTAATCTGCAGCCGCTGCTGTGGCTGCGATCCGCAGAGGCAGCTCTGGGCCTCTACCGCCAAGTCCAGCAGCAACAGCAGCAACAGCAGCAACAGCAGCAGCGTTGGAGGCGGAAGCTACCAACAGCCGATGGTGCTACTGCTGCTACAGCCGCCGCCGGGGTGTCTGGCACCGGTCCAAGTCCGCAATCGATAGAAGGGTTGTTGGGTTTGGGGGAGGAGGCGGGAGGCGGCGGCGGCGCAATGGCGGCGGTGGCGGTGCTGCTAAAGCAAAAGCAGCAGCAGCCGGAGGGTCGCTTGATGTTGGCACCGTGCGCGGCGCCGTCCGCCCCTTTGGGGGAGACCTCGGGCGGGTCGCCCTGTGCATCTGAGTTGCTATCGGAGGCGGTGGTGGCGTTACAGACGGCGTTACAGCAGCTGGAGGCCCAGCAGGAGGCGCACGAACAGGTACGTGTGTGCGGGTGTATGGGTGTGCGTGTTGGGGGGGGGTGTACATGAGCTTATCTGGGGCATCTGGGGGCCTCGTCGTCCACCCTCAATAATGGACTTCCCTTGCGTCAGGCACACACATACACACACATACACACACATACACACACACATACACATATATACATACACATACATAAACACACATACATACACATACACACATACACACACCCTTTCCGTTGGGGCAGCAGGCAGCAGCCCCTCTGTGGCCAGTGTCAGGCCCGGTCAGATAGATACTTGTAACACACCCACACCCACCCACCCACCCACACATGCATGCATACACTCACACACACATACCCGCAAGCCCCCACAAGCCAACGTTCGTAACGACCATACTAACATCCCGCCTATCAACACCCCGATCGTGACTCCACTGCAGTGGCAGAGCAGCAACAGCAAACTGGAGGAGGGGCTGTCCCTCACCCCCTCTCAGCCGCTTCCACTGGCCGGATGTGCGACCGCCGCCGCCGCCTCCACTGCGGCGACGTCCATATCTACCGCCGCCGCCGCCGCCGCCAGCGCCAGCGGCCCAGTGCCAACCGCAACCGCAGCTGGAGCTGGCAGTGGCAGTAGCAGTAGCAGCGGTGGCAGTAACGGCGGCAGCGGCGGTGACGCCGGCGTTGGATCTCAGGGGGGGGTGGCGGCGGTTTCTGGTTCCGGAGAGCCGTACAACGCGCCGCCGCCGCCGCCGCAGCAGCAGCAGCTTTTGCGGCCGCCGTCACTGCAGCAGCTCAATCAGGCTGAGCAGCAGCAGCAGCAGCAGCCGCAACAATCGTCGAGCCATCAGGTACAGCGTCCCGTGGGTCAGGTCAACGGCAGCGGAGGTGGCGGCGGAGGCGAGGAGGTACGGCATGCACCACCGCACGTGCAGCCACCTCCATCCCATCACCACCAGGTTACCAACGGTGTGCATGAGCCCCAGGGGACAGGTGAGGCAGTGCTTATGTATGTATGTATGTATGTATGTATGTATGTATGTATGTATGTATGTATGTATGTATGTATGTATGTATGTATGTATGTATGTATGTATGTTTGTCTACGCGGTCTAGGGCTCCCGCTGCCAATGAACTGCAAATCGATGGGTTGGTATCAGCTACTTACTTCGCAGCTTTCTAATATCTATATAGAGAGATATATCCTCGTCAGCTCGTCGGATTTTGATTTTGTCTTTAAAATTCCAGAGTGAGTTACGCAACGCCAGACGTTGGCCTCCAGGGCCCCGGGCTGAAATGCTGCTTCCCATCCCGCGAGCAACCGATCTTCTCCTCGCATTGAGGTGCTCCTGCTTCTTTTCCATTGCGCCATCTCATCCCCCCCAACCCCCCAACCCCCCCCCATGGCATGGCCCGGACCTCATCTTCCGCCAACGCAGACGCCAGCGCAGCTCTCTCTGAGGAGCTGTGTGCTGTACGGCGTGCCGTACTCGCCAACCTGTCGTACGCGCACCTCCTAGCGGAGGACTGGTGTGCGGCGCTCCAGACCGCCAAGGCCCTCCTTGCAGTCTCGTCGGTGCCGCCGCCGCCGCCTCCGGCTGCTGCTGCGGCGGCGGCGGCGCTTGGCAGCGGTACCGGACGCGGCGCCGTCGCCGCCACGACTAGCACCGCCGGCGCGAATGCATCCTCCGCATTACCCGCGCCATCTTCATCGCCGTCATCGGCGGCGGCGGTGGCGGCGGCGGCTGAGTATGCTTTCCTGGCTCACAACTACGCGGCAGAGGCGCTATGTCACTTGGACAGGCCCGAAGATGCAGTGGAATGCCTGTCCTTGTGGTTGATGACGGCCCAAGAGCGGGAGCAGCAGCAGCAGCAACAGCAGCTGCTGCTGCTGCAACAGGTGTGTGTGTATAATTAAACTAAGGCGCGAAGAAGTATAGGGAATGTATATACATTACATGCATTACATACATGAAGCAGAAGTACATAGCTGCGGATTGTGTTTTGAAGATTTTAGGATGTACGTCGGGGGGGAGAAATGCGTCAGGTATGCGGCACATGTGTGTTGGTGTGTATGTGTGTAAGAAGGGGAGAGGGGCCGAACAGAGCTTAATTAGAAATTGTTGGGGGTTACCCTCCCCCCTAACCGACTAACCACCGACCTAACCACCTTCTCCTGCGTTCTTCTCCTTGGGCTGGATCTGTCTACTACAGGCTAGGCTTATAGCTGATAGCCTGATAATCTGTGCTAAGATGGGCTGGGCCGGTCCAAGCCCTAGCGCCCAGCTCCAGTTGGGGGGTTATCCTCATCGAGAGCTCATCGGTTCGCCCAAAGCAAGCACCTTTGGGACCGCTTGTGACAGAAACTTTAGAACTTGGGTCGTTTCCCTTCATGCCCCTCCTCCCCTTCCTCCCTTGCACAGCCGCAACAGGGAACCATTCGGAGCGGCAGCAGCAGCCAGAGGTCAGACGAGGACGGCGGAGGAGCCTTCGGAGGCGCTGGCGCTGGCGGCGGCGGCGGCGGTGCTGCAATCACTGGCGGCGGCGGCGACGTCGGCGGCAGTGAGCAGTACTCCCTTGGGAACACCAGTGCGTTGGCGGCGCTGAGCGGCTCTGCCGCCCTTGCCGCCACAGCTGCCAATTTAGGCGCTGTGTTCGCGAGCCAGGGGGAGTTGGATCAGGCCAAGGCACTTGTACGACAGGCGCTGGCGCTGCAACCCGGAAGTTGGAGCGCCACGCTGCTGCTGGCGTACTGCGAACTGGCGGCGGGCAACACGCCGGCGGCGCTGGGGCTGCTGAAGCGGCCGGCACCGCCGCTGTCCTCCTAAGTGCTATGCGCTGAAGTGAATTGAAGTGAAGTGAATTGAAGTGAAGTCTTCCTAGCGGCTTTGTTTTTATGATGCGAGACTGTTTTATACTTTGTGATGGTGTTACACGGGTGGTTGTGTGGTGGGGCTGGGGTGGTTGCTTTGGTGGGATTGGCGGATGTTTTAGAGTGACCGTTGGGTGTTAACACGCTAGGTATGGCAGATATCGTACGGCACGTGCCCACTTGGACCGTTATTAGAGGGCATTTAGATGTGGGAGTGTAAGGAGATGAGCGTTTTCTTTCTACGTGTGTATGTAGGTGGCGAGGGGGATTCAGAGAACGAGGGGATGTGCATATGTGTTTTTGTGCATCATGTGGATGCAGTTACGTGCATTGTACGTACAGTCATAATGGCATGTGGTGGCTGTGGGGTCTGCTGAGGGCGAACTACTGCTTAGGTACTTAGGAGAGGGCTGCGGATGAATGTCGCAGGTGGTGGATCGGATTACCATCGGACAAAGAAGCAAGAACTACTGTTCGGAGTCGCGGAGTCGCAGTCACCAGTAGTTTTTGTGAAATGACCGATTTCGTCTATTGAACTTATATGTTTTTTTGTTTGACGTAATGCAGCGGCGTCGAGAGGAGGTTTCGTAAAAGGTACCAGCAAGGCATATTCGCGACTCGCGACTTGGGAGCTTTTTTAATCACCCTGAGTTAAAGGAGTAAACTGCTCGGTGCCTGACGACCCTTCTCTACCTGCATATGCCGATACCGCGCTCGAGACTTTCCTCATCAAATTAAGTTCTAATTAGAGTTTGAGTTTTGCGTGTGGACGGAGTCATCCGTCCGCAGAGCCCTTTGAAAGCCCCTGGTTACATCCTCAGACATTGCCGCCTGCTTCCTCACACAGGAACAGAAGCAGCGATTGTTGCCAAGCATGTGCATTAGCGCACAGCGCCGCACATCGCTCGCGACATAAAATATCCCAAAAGGGCCAACAAGGTGTGAAATGCGTATAATATATAATTACAACAGCTCCTGTAACTCCTGCAGCGCCCCCACTTCCAGACCGCTAAATTCCGTCCAACAGCAATGGACATGAGGAGACCATACACCTTCAACGTTTTTGTATAAGGTAAAAACTTCGTATGATACACTGTAAATTTTCTTCAAAATCCTACACCAGCCGTCAGCCGTAAGAAATCAACGTAAAAGCCGCGATAAATGATCTGACGAAGACGGCTTGCGTGGCTTGACGTCGCGTGCTTGATGACCGCTCTACCCTCCCAGCCATGTACAACTGCCTTCTGGTAACAAGATACATAACACATACATACATACATACACGCACACACAAGAATAAAAGTACACAATGGGCGTATGTCCATTAAAGCAAATATGCCACGGTAGCCAGAAAACCAAAGCAAGGCGGAAAAGGAACGTTCGTGTATATGTGTGCGCGTGTGTAGCGTGCGTAGCAACAAGACGCACTCGGAAACCTGATGTCATCCGTCCCGCTCTCCATCCTTCCTTCTCACCCACCTAGCCGCAAGCAGCCTCGGTATCTCCGCCGTATCAAAGAATGCCGCCAAAAAAGAATCATGGTTTGGAAGCAGCCACCACCTTGGGCACCGCAACGTGTATTACCCACCAAATGTGACGTGTGGGCGTATGCTGCTGTGTAGCTGCTACGGTGACGACATGGACGGTAATTTCGAAAAAGAAAATAAAAGGAGAACCCAACGCCGCACCCTTATTACCACCAATTGACCCAACCCTCGCCAGTGGTCCAAAAGGGGAGGCTCTCCTGCTGCACTTTAATCGAACCCGACGCGATAACAACAGCTACAACAACAGCTGCAGCAACAGACACACATCCGAACCGCTTTCGATAGAGACTTCAATTGCGACCCACCACGGGAAATGCAGTACAATCTGTGTCCCATGCACCTAGCGCCGTTGCGCCCGGTGCTGCTGCTGCGACTGCGGCAGCAGGTGCCTAAGCAGCAAATCAACGAGAACCGCCGCCGCAGCAGCAGCCGCCACAGTACGGCCCCCTGCTGCTGCTGAATTGAGCAGCCTTTATACACATGCACATATAAGCCACCGAAAATCCATTCCTCAACCCGCAAGCACAGTGGCTGCAACCCTAGCAACCCGGCCGCCCCCAAAACGATGCCGAGGGTTCTCAGACCCCTCTATACAAGGGTGTAAGAACGCCCACATCCAAAACCCCCCACAACACACCCCCCACAGATTTACACACACATATGGGGGCAAGTCAACGGGACTCAAATCTAAGAGGAGCCAGGGTGCAGTCCACAGCTGGTTCGCGACACCAATTGGGTGGTAACCCCCAAAAAAGCAAACGTGACGCCCAAGCGCGCCCCATTGAAAGTTGAGTGCATCGAATACCCTAAAACTCTTCATGCATAAGCTATAGATAGACAACTGCACTTTCCGCCTGGAGTGGCCGACTATCGCAATCCAGGTGAGGTGAGGTAATTCCCTTCCTTCCCCCGCATTTCCTGCACCACGGTGACAAACACAACAAACGCCGCAAAGAGCTCCGGAACAGTCCCCACACCGCCCCAATGTGCGGCGGGAGGGGTGCGCAAAGCAAAGCAAAGCAGCAGCGCGAGCCAAACCCTTCACCGCCCCCCACGTGGGGTACAACCCTCGAGGATTAACCCACGTGATCGAGGTCGAGGCTGAAAAGTGACAGAGGTGCGGAATGCCTAAATGCTCAGCTCGATGCCCAGCTAAAGACGGAGATGCTTGAGCCTCCAGGCTCGCCCCTTGCCGGTTTCGCGGTATGCGACCAGGTACATTTATGGACCTACGCCCATAGCGAGGGGTGCGCAGCGTCTCTCTACTAGGATCTCTCTTGGCCCGCTTCGTACTGGCACGCGCAATAATACGGCATCCGCAGGTACTTCGCGGTTTTAAGCGTTACCTCGGACTAGCAACGGCAAACACCTGATGGAGGCAACGAGGAACTAACTGCTTGAGGAACTGACCGGTACCAACTCGGCCCACGGGACAGACATATCGGTGTACGGCACCAAACCCACAAAACCCACATCCTTTCATCGATCCCCCATTTCACTCTGTCTGGTTGGTCGCCCTGCAGTGCAGTGCAGTGCGGTGCAGTGCAGTGGCCCATCCAACAGCAGAGCTCACCCCGAAGGCGGTTCAGAAGTGGACGATGTGGAGGACCGCGACGAAATAACCAGCAGTAGCAAGAAAAGTCAGTTCTCCCTCCCCTTTCCCCTTCGTCGCCTGGGAGATATTAATCAATGGCAGCAGCAGGACCAGGAACAGCGACTGTAGCAGCAGCAGCAGCAGCTGTAGTAGCAGCAGAAAGCTGTGGCCAAGCCATTCATGGCTGCCAGCACCGCTATCGATACAAAGTATTGTTTGTCGCCGCCTAAGCTCAGCCCAGCTCAGCTCTGCCTGCCGCCGTCGAGGTGCCGCCGAACAACGTCGTCAAAGCAGCTCCGGAGCCACATAAGCCATATTACCATACCACCTTCATCAACACCGGTGATCGACGGCAGCAGCTCGCAAAGCGCTGTAGGCGTAGCCGCGACCAGGGGCGCGGCAGACGTACATATTTATCTGCAACAGCTTTCTTTTGCCGGCGGCTTTACTCAAGGCTCTTCATCTGAGGCCGTCATAAGGCCCTCGATGGAGAAGCTGTCGAAGCGGCCTTCCAGAACCGTTTCCAACACATAGTCCACCGCCTTATCCACCTGCTCAGATGCGATGAAAAAAACGCCACCGCGAGAGTGGAGTCCGAGGATACAGAGGGGGCTTAAGGTTATGAAAGGATTGACCGGTATCCGGATCCGGTATCCGGTATCCGGATTGACTGGTATCCTAATCATCATCAAAAGACTTAGGAAGAGAAGAGAGAAGAGGGGAATAATTGGAATGGACACTGGCATGTTCTGAGCACGCGGCTTTGTGGGGCCTTTTGGCGCAGGACCTTTTGAACGTGTCGATGACGGATGGAAAAACTTGGTGCAGGAAAAGAAATGGAAGCGAAGGAAGTGCAGACTGGTGGCATGTTAGGGGCCTCTGGGTATGGTGGACGTGTGGTTCCGGATGCATGTTCAGCGACAAGGTGACGATGATGCTTAATATTTAACTCAGCAAAGCGACGAGTACCATCGGAGCTTTCCCTTGGTTATGGCAGGTCTTGGTTATGCTGGGTTATGTCGGTGCGATTTAGCCAGCTAGGAGCAAAGCTATCCATAGCTTCAATCGCACAAGAAGGTCAGAAAGCTATATTGGTTAGTTAGCGAGTTACGAACGGATAAAACGGTGCTTGCAACGCCTGCCCTGCCCTCACGGCGCCACCTCCTACCTGAGCTTGCGTGACGCTCGCAGCAGAGCGTTGAGCCGCCGTGAGGGATGCATAGACTGCTTCCAAAATGTCGACACCAGTGCCGGCAGCTGGAGAGTCGCCACGACCCCTCACGAAAGCAATGCCCACAGACGACGCAAGAGTCGCCAGGGCCACGCAAGCGTAGGTTATCGCGGTATCGCCGTTGACGGGGAAGAACACGCTGTGATCGGTAATTATTTCGATACATGCTGCGACGGCTACACCGACCTGCCGAGCCCACCACGTCGGAAAGTGTTAGCGGCGAGCCCCGGCAACATGTTCCGAAACAATCCGACTTACCATCGCGCTTCGCCCCGCAAATGTTTCATAACGTTGAGCCTGACTCTGTAGAAAAGTAAAGGATCATAAATAATCATAAACAGCCCTAGAAAGGTAACCCGCCAAAATGATCGACCGAGCAGTTAAGCGAACAAGGGAGCTGACCATTAACCCACATCCACGATGTAGTGCCCAGGACTGTCCTACAACTCACATTCAGCTCGACAGCAGCTGCAAGGCTCCTTATCATGGAACCGTTCCTCATGCGTGGGGTTGGAGACGACAGCGCCACCAAGGGTTCAGGCATATTCTCTTGTATCTTAGCACGGCATGAGATAACTCGGCGTGGGACCTTCAAAAAGCCCAGTCGTGATACTGCTGGCATTACTTTGAAAGCCGTAGAAGACATGACGCGAAGACGTTACCAAGCAGAAAGAAAGGTAATTGTATAGCTCCTTGCGTCCAGTGCCGAACTTGCTGCATACTTAGCACACTTAGGGTGCGCCGGCCGTAAACTGGCGGATGGCGTTGCTGCCGTGCAACCGTCTTGCCGTATGCGAAAACTCCAATGCATTATTCGATAGCAGCCTGTGAGTTTCTATGCTTACATAAATGAAAAGCACATCCATAGCAATTGGCTAGCCCAGCCCCTTGTCCTGTGATGCAGCTACGGTGTTGTCCGCATATAAAAGCTCGTCGGTCCAACTGCTTTAAAATACAGCTCGTGGGCCCAAAATGCAAGTAGACCAATAGAAGTATCTCCATATATACAAATTTATCATTGGATATATGCTGGCCGCCCACTCCCACAGAGTCAAACCCTAGAAGAGTCAAAGTCTGAAGTGAACACTGGTTAACGTAAAAAAGACGCACATGTTCGCGCGTGCAGACATGGGGCAATACAGTCGAAAGCATCCAATATCCTGGACAGTTCCACAACAAGGTGCCCAGTCATGAATTAGCCCGCAACGGTCTTTCCGTGGGTTCCGTCACGTCCACGCGTCTTATCATGTCAAGCAAAGGCATACACCCTCACAACCGGACGCCTAGGATTGTCAAAAAGTCAGCTGCGTGCCAGAATACAACCGAAACCCATGCTCTGTAACCCAACCATGAGGTGTACAACCAATTCCTGTCGTCTGCATGCCCTATGCAGGGTCGCAACCCCCCATTAAACTCTTATCTTCCGCACTGCGGCCTTCGCAATGGTATAACAAGACCACATGTAAGGTTGCCGATCGCCAGCAAAGCAACAGCAGAATACTCATCATTGCACTGGTACATAATGGTACATTTGCTGGGGTCCAGCCTGCTGCGCGTGCCCGTCAAACATTCCTGGTTGACTCTGGAAAGCTGTTGCTTGCAGCGGCGGAGCGGTCATCATGGCGTCCGCTGACTCCGTTCCCTGCATCGGTTGTGAGCCATCCTCATCCATTGGCTGTGCGCCATCAGCTGGTTCCGGATCATCGAAGGGAATTGCGTAACGCGTGACGCGCGGATGCTCATCGAGAATGCTCCGCTGAAGCCGATCCAAGCGCGGCTGCTCTGGGGGGTTTTCCCGCAGCTCCTCGTCCAGGTAGTCATTGTTGACGTAGTAACCCACACGGATGAACTCTTTGTCCCGGTAGGAGCACGTCAGCAAAATGACTGTGACTCCTACCAGGTCGTCGGCTGGAATTTTCTGAGGATTCGGCGGGTTGGCCTCGAGCACGAACTTGAAAGTGCCCGCCATGACCGGCCCGACCTCAATGTTTTCTAGCTCCTGGTCATAACGATCGCTGTCAGCAGACCCGACGTAGACAAGCTTCCAAACAAGATCCTGTTGCAACGATGTCACCGCCTCGTACTCTATCTCAAAAGCTAGCGGGTCCGTAAACATGGCTGGATTATTCAATGGGCGCACAGATAGAACGCTAACAGCCATGGCGTTCCACCTGACAGAGCTTTGAAGTTACGTGAAATATGTCAAAGTCGCGCGCGATATGCAAAATTCAAACGTTTCCTGCCTAGTAAAAGCAGGGAATACGTGAATTAAACAGAACTGATAGGCCTGTAATGGATACAAGGTTGCGCATGGCATGCTTTGCGCGGAATGGTCAATACGGCGGCAACGTACATCCAAACGACCAAAAAAGTCAGCCATATCCCCAAACACTCCCTTTCGCTCCATTCGTAATAAGCAGTTTTTAAATCGGGCGCTGGTCGAGGCTATCCAAAAAGCGCAGGAGCATTTCTGACTGCTGGTTATGCATTTGCGGAGAGGCCACCAATTCCATACCGCCGCGCGCGTCGGTGGCCGCTTCTTCTGCAGCTAGTGCAGCGTCCGTTCCATTCTGTGAGTACTCCATGTGTCTCAGCTTCTCCGCCTCGGTCTCCCAGCTTCCCTCAAACAACGCGCCAGGGACCTCGCCATCACCTTCCGCGTGCGTGGCAGCCCCCAAGCCAACAACCTTAAATGTTGTGAACGCTCCACCTAATCTCAGTCCATCCACGTCAAACATCATCCGATCAGCGAACTCGGACAGGCCCAGTAAATGTGGCGCCGTGTTGGCCATCGGTGTTGGAAATCCGACAACTTGCGGCTGCTGCCACACTGGCACATCGGGCCTGCCAGCCAGTAACTGCGACTGCATTGAACCCCTAGCCCCAGCAGCAACTCCGTTCTGCTGCTCCAGACTAGCTATTGATGGCGGCGCATAACGGAGGAGGATAGGATTTAAGCACATCGCGTCAGCCACGCCGACACACGAAGATGGCCGCGCGAACGGCCCACAGCCAAGCTGTGGAGCGGTCCCGGCTGTGGCACCGTACGCCACCGGCCCCCCACCGTTCTCTCCAGCCAATGTCAACCGTCGGCGTTTCACGTCCGGTGAACCGACGGTGTAGCTCATGGGTTCCGCAGGCGTTGGCTTGCTCCCACCACCGCCGCCGCCAGCGATGAAGCGATGACCTGCTTGACCACCAGCGTGCCGAACATGTGGCGACCGTACACCGCTGACGCTGGTAACGGCTGTCGTACATGGCACCATCAAGCCCGCCTGCCCTTCGGCGGCCCGCTTGTGAATCTCCCGTCGGCACTCCTCGAACAGACTGGCGGCTGCCTGGCTATGGAACACCGGGCCCCGGTCAACCACCGCCGAGGCCGTCACCGTCGAAGTAGCAGCCGCGGTCAGAACGCCATGATGTTGCAGCCCCTCGGCTCTTGCGGTGACGGCTCCGACAGACGGCGGCATTGTTGTCGCCGCCTGGCTAATCGCGGGTGTAAGCAAACTCGACAGCGACGCGGAGACCCGCAACGGCGACGCAGCTAACGCCGCCGCCGGGCCCATGTGACAATCGGAGACGGCCGTCCCCTTCCCCACCTCGCCCGAAGCCGAAGTACCGACCCTTTCTGGGGAGGAGCTCACGGAAAGGGACGGCGCGTCCCTAGGAGACCACCATGAACCACCACCCGAAGTCCACGGCTGCCCTTGCGCCATGTTCTTCTTCAAGTTCATGGACGCGGCTAACGCCGCGTCGGTGGATGCCGCCGCCGCCGTCGGTACGGCTGGCGTGGCCATGGCAGTCCTCCGGAGCAGTTCACTGTACGCTGGCGAGGCAGAGTTGAACAGAGGAGGCACGATACCCAGCGGAGGCGCTGGACCGCCGCAGACGCCATCATCACTGGGCATCATGGATGCTGCGGCGACTGGAAATCCGCGCCAAGGATGAAGAGGAGGCTCCTGATGCGACCTGGCATTGCCGGCGCTTGTGGTTGCGTTGGTGGTGCTCATGGCGGCGACGGTGTCGGCAGATGCTGGTTGGAGCAGCTTGGTTTGTGCTTCCACATTACAGGGCGGCGAGTCGGTCTGTGTGGCTGCGTTGCAAGCGGCTGCTAAGCCAGGGGTTAGGCCGAGTCCTAAACTGGGGCCGAGCTCCAGGCGCTTCGTGGGGGGGGGGATTCGTGGCATCACAGGCGCGCAGGACCCAGGGGGAGGTGTTGTTCATTCATAACAGCCGCAGCCACGGCGACGGAGACATAAGGGCGAAGCCAGCAGGTGGATTACGGCCGGATATGGCGAAAGACGAGCGACAACGGGGGAGGAGGGAGGGAGAAATTATATGACGCAAGAATAAGCAAAGGGTGAACTGTCGACGAATTCAAAGCTAGGAGAAGGGAGAGTGCAGCTCTGCAGCTATGGGTAGCCCAAGAGGCTCTGGTTGGAAAAGTGATGGCCGTTAGGAAAGTAAAAATGGAAAAAAGGTGCCAGCCATGAATACATTAAGACGTTCGTAAGTGGTCACATACCCAACGTACAGTGAAGTAGAGCCGACCCCACTTCCGCTAACTTCGACACCCCGCGGTAGTGGCAGCTATGGCATATGCCGCATTTGACACCATCCGTCCCCATGCCGTGCCGTGCCAAACACCCACCACACTTTCTGCACTTCAGATACTCGTCAAAACCCAACCGTACGTGCCACCTTGATGATTCGTTGTAGGGCAGTTGTAAATGGAATATTCTATCGTGCGGACATAGTCTTCTATGCGGAGGACCCAATCTCCAAAATGCAGTAAAGCCTTTCCCACATCTCCACCTCCCGCGATAGGCACCTAGCATATGCACCTAGGCTAAAAAGGGGTAGGCTGGCCTGGACAAGACCAGGCTAGGCATACATTTCTTCACAACGTGTCCAAACCCACCAACGCTCCCAGAGCTCGGCTCATCCGGATGGGCACCCACCCACACCTACCCTCACCTTGCCGTCGGGATGTGGTGCCCCTTTCGTCGTCGTCGCTCGGGCTGGCAGCAGCTCCCTGGCAGTATTAACCGCCAACGCAGCGACAGGATCGCCACCACCGCCTTCGGGCAGGACCGGCCGGCCGGCCAGCGAAGCTTGCAACGCCCCTGGATTCGAAGCCACAGCAGCACCGACACAGCAGCAAACAGCAGCTGAAAATTGGCCATCGAACAGCGCCTGGGAGCGAGTCCATGGCCCGTGAAAATCCCTAAAAGGTTTCCTTCTCATCCAAGGCTCATCCTGGGCGGGGTTGCGTGTGTGCTTTTGCCGCGATATGCTGTTCAGCGTACCTTGGCCCAGGACCGCTGCCGCCGCCGCCGCGGCGCACACCGCAGGCACTGCGGCTTGCAGGCACTGCGAGAACACGTCACTGAGGGAGCTTGCATCCAGGTTGACGTTGACTTGCACCTGCAGAGGTCCATGCGAGATAGCCGCAATGGCAACAACGCGCACCCACACCAGCAGTAAGACGAGGATGTTCTACCACACCAAAATCATTCATTGGCAGCCGGAGTAATGTTGACTATTTGGATTGCGTCTGGGTTACGGAAAGGGATCCACGCTGGCGATCCTTTTGGGATCCTCTGCCTTCGGGCGACATGCCTTCATTGCTCACAAAGAGGTTAATATTAGCAGCGACGCGTCGCGGCGAGGGCAGAGGCGTCTGTGACGTCGAAAGCCGCGCGGAGAAGAAGGCACGTCTCAATGAGGACGAGAGCAGCCCAGGCTCTTAAGCAGGGTCAATCTTGCGGTACCTGCGGCGGTGCGACCTGCGACGGCGCGGCCGCCTCTGCGCCGGTATTGCGCTCTTGTCCCTGTCCCTGCCTCCGTTGCTGTCCTTGGTGGTGGTGATGGTGGTTGTCATCATCGCGGTCGCGGTAAAAGTAGGGCTGGCCTGGCCGCCGCCTCCTTGCTGTTGTTTGCTGCTGCTGCTGCTGCTCCTCCAGAGCAGCAGCGCCGCTTACCGGCCCCAAGCCACAGACTGGTCCTGGCCCTTGCCAGCCGTCGCGCCTCTGTCGTCCTCCTTCTACAGACGATGCGTCCCAACTCAGCTCCGCCTGCAGGTGCGTTGTGGGAAGTCTCACGACGGAGTCCTCGGGTGACCAACTGAAGGACCCGCGCAGCAGCGCTGCCGCAACATCACTCGATCCAAAAGCACCACCACCACCACCACCTCCACCACCACTACCACTGCCTCCAGGAGCAGCACCTCCGGGAGGTCTGGCGGCGGCAAGAGCGGCGGCAGTTGTAGTAGTAGTTGGGGGTCCTGGCCCCCTCGCATCGCCGCGATGGTGGTCGTGGTAATGGTCGTAATACTGATGATGATTCGGACGATGTTGTTGATATTGACGTTGTTGGTGGTGGTTCTGGTGGTGATGATGGCTGTTCCAAGGATGAGCTGGTGGATTATGGGAGAGATGGTCGCCGCCACCATCACCATCACCATCACCACTACCACCAGCGCGGCAATGACCACTGGACAGAGAAGGTAAAGGGACTGAACGTATGGCGCGAAATTGGAGTGGGGCGACCGTGGGCAAGGACGAGGACGGGGCAGGCCGGACGTCTTCGAGGTTAAGAAGCTCGGGTAATGAGGTGTTGTTGTTGTTGGTGGTGGTGGTGTGGTATCCGGGGATGGCTGGTAGCGACAAAGTGAAGGGCGGGAGCGGCGGCGGTGGTTGTGGTGGTGGCGGTGATGGCGGCATGGCTGAAAGATGTGGGTCAGCTTGCATGGGCCGGAGGAGAGCCGCGCCAGAGGAGCCGCCAACCGAAGGTTGTTGGGAAAAGCCCCTAGCCGTTGGCACTGGCTCCTGCCGAATGCGGGTCCGTGTCCATGCGTTCGGCGGCCACACGTCCTCATACGATGCCTCGTCGGCTACGGAAGAGCAGCTTCCAGACCCGGCTGCCGGCGCGGCCACGGGGCCGCCACCTCTGGAATGGCCGCCGTGTAGGAACTCCCATAGCTCTGTCAGCGCGGCCGAGTCGACCATACCCCCCTTACCGCCGGGGGATATGCCAGGCACTGCCGCCGCCAGCGGCGGAAACGGCGGAAACGGGACATGGGATGAATAGGGAGTAAGCTGGGGAAAGGCCGATGGCGACGACTGGGGGTGAGTCGGCACGGGGATGGCGGGCGCAGATGGCCGGTCAGATGACTCCACTGCAAGGTTGATGCCCAATGAGCCCGATGGCTCCGGCGCGGCTGTCCAGGGCCGTCGTTGTGCATCCGGATGTGAGTGTGACGGCGGGAGGGAGGATCCTTTCCCCCCGGTCTGTCCAGGTCCTTTCCCCGAGCCAGCAGACATCCCGACATCCCGCAACACGTCAGCTCCTGCTGCTGCTCCGTGAAAACCGTGCGACAAGGGCCGCGTCGCCGTGCCCAACTGCAACGGCCTGGGGTCCACGGGTCCTTCTCCTTCACGGTATGGACCCCCGTCCTCTCTTACATCCCCCCCCGCCGCCGCCGCGGCATGCCATTCCGCATCAGGGCCCTGTAGCGGCGCCTCTGACGGCGACGGCAGCTGTAAAGGCGGCGGCGGCCGCCATGCTGGTCGGTACACTGGTTCCTGTAGCGACGGCTGCGGGACAGCTCCCTGCTGCGCTTCGGAGTCCATCACTCGGCTGAAGTCCTTCATCTGAAGGGTCAAACCGCGACCGCCGCCGCCGCCGCCGCCGCCCCTGCCGCTGCTGCCTCCTCCACGGCCGCCACCGCTGCCAGCCGACGGCGGCTGCAGCCACGCCAAGCGGCCCAGATCCGTGTGGCTGCGAAAAGCCGACGGCCAAGTGCTCCGGGGCACCCGCCACGGGCAGCCCCTGGGGGCCTCCCCCGGGTCGGAGCTGGGATGCACGCCGGGGCCGCGGCCCTGGAATGGAGCCGCCGGGTTGCGTGGGCCGGAGAAGGTTCGAGCTGAGGCATGACGACCTAGGGCTGGATGATAACGGTTGTCGGGAACGCGGATGGTTTTGTTACTGTCATCGTTGTTGTTGTTTTTGCCGGCGCCGGAGTCAGACGCCGGGATATTATTGCTGCCGCCGCCGCCGCCGCAGAGGTCGTCGTTGCCGCCGCCACCACCAGTGGCGGTGCCGGCGGCGTTCTGATCGGAAATGGCGATGCTCGGGGCGGTGCTACTTGGCACGCTGCTGGAGGCATACCGACGGAGGACGGCAGCGGCGGCGGCGGCGGCAGTGCTGCCGCCACGGCTGTTGATGGCGACAGTCGCCATGTCCAATATGCCGATGCCACGGCTGCTACTGCCGCCGGCCGCGACTGCGCCGGCGTCGTCGCTACCTTTTTCGCCGATTGCGGCGTGAAAGCCGCCGCCGCCGCCACCGTATTGCCCACCGTTATCGACGACATTGGTGTCGCCGTTGCCGCCGCCGTCGTCGTTCATGGGGCCTCTGCCGCCGCTAGCGCAGCTGCTCACTGGCGCAGATCCATCGCCGCCAGTGCACCCAATGCCGTGACTGGTGCCGGCCCCCTCACCTCCGCGGCCCGCCATTTCACTATTATTACTACTGTCGTACACTCCACCACCTCCGAAACCGCCGTCATTGACAGCAGCAGCCCGACCCAAGGGCTCCACGCCGTCTGCAGTAACACCTATTTCGCCATCGCCGCCGCCGTCGGCTGCTCCGCCACCGCCAACATCGCCAGCGCTACAGCCAGGATTACTAAACCCATCCCCCACGGGTATGGCGCCGCTGCCGCTGTTCCCATGCCCGTGACCAGAAAAGTGTTCATGAGGACCGAGTGGCGCAGTGGCGCCGTCAGTGGCGCCGGCCTCGCCGCCATCGACACTGTCCTTCACTTCCTGCGCAGCCGCAAGAGCAGCAACATCGGTAACGGCAACCCAGCCGCCAGTCGTGCCTGGTGAGGGGCGCTGCGGCAGCTCCTGCTGGTGATGGTGCTGTTGCTGAAACTGCTGTTGCTGTTGTTGTTGTTGTTGTGATGATGGTGGTAGGTCTTCCTGTTGCAGCGTTCTTAGCTCTCTACGGCCGGTAGAAGCAGAGTCCGGACGCCACGTCGCCACGGGACCCGGGATCACCCACCCCGGCGCGCGTCGAGCCTGCACAGTCCCCTCAGTCGCATGCACCTGCACCTGCACCGGCGGTCCCACAAAGGATGATGGTGGAGCGTAAAACTCATCGGAGTCATCGCCCGGTGTGGTCACTAGGGGAAGTACCGAGGACAAAGGCTGCTGCGCGGCAGGCGCTGCCGCCGCCGCCGCTGGTGTCGGCGGCGCAGCCGCTCGCGCCGTCGCCGCCGCTGCTGTCAGGCCTGAACCGCGAGCCGCAGGGGCTGCCCTCAGCCGCCCAGTCTCCAAAAGTATCTCTGAAGAGACGTCCGACTCAAACGAGTCCATGTGCAGCGCGGCGAGGTTGGCTACTCGAAGCACCCGGCGCGTCTGGGCCAACGGCGTCTCCGTGGCGCTGGGAGGACGGAGCCCATGGCGCGCCGTGATGCCACTTGCGGTGGCGGCAAGTGGCGACGTGTTTGCGGTGGTGACGGTTGTGGTCGTACCGGGGGGTGCTCCGGCGGCAGCTGCCGCAGGTGTGACGCGGCCGCACGTAGCCGCTGCGCTTTGCGTCCCGCTCAGGTCACTCGTGGGTAGGTGTGTAACGGAGAGGGAGGTGGTGGAGGGCTCGGATGCCGCCGGCCAAGGTGGAGGAGACCGGGTCATGTGGGTAGCTACAGCGGGGGAAAAGCGTGTGGGTGGTGTTTGTGTGTGGGATGGTTGAGTGGGTGGGAGAGAGAGGACAGGTAGGAGATGCGTGCGTGTGTAAGATGCCGGGTCGGCCAGGTGGCCGTTGCGCCGTGGTTCAGGGATTGGTACATTCAAGTTCAGGATGGCAGGTGGCAAGGCCCTTTGACGAGATTCTTTTATTCATGTAAGTGCGTTACCTTGAGGGTTTTCCCAGTTGTCACCCCATGCCCGTTGAGACCCCGGACGGAAGGGCAGGTCGGGCAGCTGACATGGGACAGCTGTTGGTGGAGATTCAGCCTGTCCAGGGATGCTGGCGTGGCGGTCAGTGGCTAAAGTTCAAGACGCTCTTTAGCGTAGGAACGTTGGCGTGGAATTAGTTCGCGCATCTTACCATACGAGAAAAGTATGCGTCTACTCCAGCCTGCGCTGAACTGCCATATGCGCTGCGTGGCTCCATGACGAGCCCTGCTTCCGGAAAGTTGCATGGGTACAGGTTAGCAAGCGTTTCTACGCTAGGACCAGTCGTTGCTGGGACGTCATTGGGATTATAACGGAGTGCGTCATCTAATGACGGGAAATGGTTCACATTGGGCAGGTCAAACGGAAACCTATACTGTCCGGGACCCAGAAGTTCATATGCAGGTCCTTGAAGCTGCTCTTCAGATTGCACTTGCGCCCTCGCATTTTCTTCCACATCAAGGGAATGCTCAAGAGCACCCCCGCTGGAGGTTTGGTTTCCCATCGCGCATAATTACAGCGATGTAACGTTAGTACGCTAGGGAGGTAACGCCATTTTCCGTTGTCCTCATTCCTCAGGGCCAGCTGTCGCAGCATGCACTTGAGTGTGCTGACCGTGCTATGTCGTGCATTGTTAACCTTTCCTGTATGTGCACGTTACATTCTCCACACTGTTGTGAGGCATCTTCTGTGTTTCTTGTACTGTATATTAGACCAGAACGTATTTTGTGATTTTACCATTTGTTGGCGTGACGGACAGCAGCCCCAATTTGGTAGTTGCTTCTTTGACCTTGCTCAACTCGTTGTCGTTGACAATAGAGCATTTCTTACATCTCTCGTAGCAGCTGCTTGCTGTTTATGACGACGCTTTTGTTTATCCGCCACCAGTGCTTTGCTAACGCGATGCTATACGAACAATCACACGCCGAATCAGGACCAAGAAACTTCAATCATATCTCTTGCAGCCCGTACTTGAGTTGGGCTTCGCTTGTCACGGTAAGGGAACGTGAATTTACCACATGATTCCACTGTCCGCCTGCGCCCTTCGCATCCCTCCGCGCTGTTGTATTTTCCTCTGCTGCCCCCTCCGCGGCCACGTCCAGGGCAAGGATAGCGAAATGCTGCTGCTGCTGCGGCCCCTATCACGCGGGCGCGTGTGGAAAATGAACCAACGCTCCCGCTGGATGCTCGTGCTCGTGCCAAGCAGTGCGGGAGAACCCTTATTCTCCGTCACAGCCAACCTCCTCCACAATCCCCCTTCTGTGAATCCCGCCGTGGCACGTGGCCCAACCCACATACCACTTTTCCTCTGTAACATGCCTACCCGCGTTGAGCTGGCCTGTTCAAGTACCGTAAACCCTCCCCCCCACCCCAGACAGGTCATGAGGCCTGACCAGGCAACATAACCAGCAAAAACACATGCAGACGCACTTTCCCCCTAACCCAGATCATCTCCATTCACATCTCTTATCCTTTCTCCGGCCCCCCCCCGTCACTCTACAGTAGCCAGTGCACCCCCACGGCCAGTACAACCACGCACGGGCCCCCCTCAGCTCGCAAACAACCGTTTGCCCGCCCACACGATGCTACGCCATTAAGTCCAGGCTTGGGCGTCGGCACATACACACTTTTAACACACACACGCATGTGCGTGCGGCACAGGTCCGATTTTCCTCCTCCTGAGACGCCCACAAACACAAACACAGACACGTACGTTGGCTGGCATTTTGGATGTTTGACCTTAGGGAAAAACGGTCAAGTACACACAACGATGACGCACATACATACGCACACGTACATTGCCCGCGTTACGCTGTCAAGGTAAGTCTTTGCTTTGCTTCCCTTGTCGGTGAAGCGAGAGCGCAAAATACCCTATGATCCATATAAACCCGCCAGACGGGTACAGTTCTTCATTTGTTCCGCCTAAACCAGTGTCCGCTGATGCGCTCGAACCCCTACTAAAACCCTAAAGCTCTCTCGTTACATAACACAACAGCAGCACTCCTATACACCTACCGCAACCGAGGAAACAAACCTCACCCGTTCCCAGCAGCCTGCACATTAACCCTTCTTACATCACCATGCATCGGTACATACAAGGTATTATACGTCCCACCGGTGGTGTCAAGTGGAAGTGCCGTACATTCCTACCTCTAACATTACTTCACGCTGAGGAGACACGTCAATAACAAAACACCAAAAGAACAACCCATAACCTAACCATAACCCCCACAACCAAAAACTTCCCCAAAATTATTCTGTCCCTTTCATAAGTCACCCGAAGGACAACCACGAGAGGTGTGGCGCCTGAAATGGTGTGGGCTCCAAGCACCCACCCAGGGATCGATTCGTGTTTATTGATGCTGACTGACGAGTACCTCCCAATGAAGGGGTAGGGTATGTACAGGGTTTCCGGGTTTCCTCTTAGTCTTAGTGAACCCTCACCCCAAGCGCCAGACCAGGCCGGGGGGTTTCAGGCCCAGTGAACGCAAACTCGCGTGACGGAGCCTTGACTCGTGAGAGCGCGTGCGCACGTGCGACGCCTCCCAACCCGCCGGGGGGGAGGAGAGCGGAGCTAGCGGACCTGCGGCTCTCGGCGCTGCTTAGGAGGGGGGACAGAGGCCCCTCTAGCGCCCCTCTCCCGTCCGCGGGGGAGAGAGCTTAGGCGGTCTTTCCGTTGGGGCAGCAGGCAGCCGCCCCTCTGTGGCCAGTGCCGTCAGGCCCGGTCAGATAGATACTTGTAACCTCCACACGCAGACACACACACACACAGAGATACACATAGAGACACACACATACATACATACACAGATACACACACAAGGAAAATGCCGAGGCGTCGCATATATCAAACACCTGAGGTCTGCGAGGTCCGCCGCGTGCTCCAAAATCCCCTCCACTCCCACTCCACCCCCACTCCCACTCGCATCCCCACCTCAGCTGCACGGCACCGGTACGGTCTCAGTCAAAGCCGTACCCCTCGTACATCGGGCAACCCGGACACGGCTCATCCACGTCAAAACCCCAGCTGGTTAATCGCCCCCTAGGACGGTCTTCGTCTTCCTGCTCCGGAACCTGCTCCTCCCCGAGACCGGAGTCCCTCCGCCGCCGTTTCAAAGGCTCCCCAGTATCGCCGTACGTCTCCGCGTCAGCGTCCGCCTCCGAAACCTTGTAACCGCCGCCGGCGTCGCTGCCGCCGCCGGCGTCGTCGTTCATGCCGTACGCGTGTAACTCATCGTCCTGGAAGTCGCCGAGGCCGTCGAAGTAGCCTGGCGGCGGCGGCGAGGCCGGCGGCGGCGACACGGGTTCCTCGTCCTCGCCGGGGTACGGCCGGGAAGAGAGGGCGGACCGACGTGCCGCCTCCATCGCCGCACGACGATCCTGACGTGCCGTACGAGAGGGCGGGGGTAGCCGCGTTTCAGAAGACATGGGTTTCACGGCTTTTGCGGGGATTTTCGTGCTTTTGGTGGTTTTGGAGCCGGAAACGGTAATAGAGGGGGAGCAAGATGAGGAAGGAAGCAACGTAGGGGACGAGAACGGGGCGGGGCGGGGCGGGACGGCCCCGTGTCATATGATCACGAAGAGAAGCATGCGGTGCTGCTGCAACACGCCAACGTCACGAATGAGACACAGCGGACAGACAGACAGACAGACAAATAGGCCGAGCCCCAGCCATCCTACCTGCATTCCCCCAACCACATCCATCCCACCGCGCCCCCTCCATCTACCACCCTCCATGCCTCCCCCCCCCAACCCTACACCACCGCGCCCTCTTCACCTACCCTCCACGCCTCCACGTCCTTCTCCAAGTCCGCCTTCTGCTTGGGGTTCATATTGCTCCGGTCCCCCGCGTACACCGGCGACACCAGCAACGCTTCCTTTAGGGTGCCCACCAGCACCTCCTGATCCACGTGGTTGATGATGGACTCCTTGATCTGGGGGGGGAAGGGGGGAAAGGGGGGAAAGACGGAACCACACACGATTGAAGCTGCTGCCAGGGCAAGAGTGTATCAAACGTAGAACTGACCGAAAGGAAGGGGGGAAGGGGGGAAGACGAACCACACACGATTGAAGCTGCTGCCAGGGCAAGAGAGTAACCAACGTAGAACTGACCGAAAGGCGTCCGTGGCGACCGTGACCTCGGGATGAAGAAGTGAAGATGATGTCGGAAAAAAACAAAACTACCTACCTAAGCCGCCAGAACTAAAAACGCGGAGTAGTATTGCCAATCCGTAAAGAAGTAGGAGTAGAAAAGTAGTAGTAAAGGCGGCGGAAGCGTAGTGAAATGGTGCTGTCGTAAAGGTGGCGTAAAATTGCTGGCCTGGAGAAATAGCTGATTTGCTGATGCTGAAAAGGCTGTCGGTATGCAGGTGCTCCTCCCAACCCCCCAAAAAAACTAAAACGCGCGACCGACCCGACCGACCCGACTAATCTATTCCGGCTAGCCGACCGACGGCAACGTGATATACCAAAGAAGCTCGAACCACCCTTTGGACTCACCTGGCCAGGCCGCAGAAGTAGTGGCAAAAGGCACATGCAAAGCAAAAGGGTAGGAAATAGGTGAGCCGGGTGCGATAAAGGACAAGGAGACATGCGAATGCTGCTGAGGAAAAGTAGTAACTGGCTGGCGGATTTGAAAAATTTAACTAAGAAGGAAAAAGAAAGGAAAAGGAAACAGTTAAGAAAGAAAAAGCATGCGACGTGTCGTACCGGATGAAGGGATGATGACGCAGTGAACGATTGCATAACAGGTAGTAAAGGCGTAACGGGGTGAGAACAATTTTGGAAAAAATACAAAGCTTGTGCAAAAAAGCTGTGCAAAAAAGCGGGGGCAGATGAAAATAGTGCGTGGGTCGGGGCCACATATGGCTCCCGCCAAACCGTGCGCACCAGGAGCATCTGCATGCAACTCCGTGGTGCCTAACGGGAGGGGCAGGAATAAACGTATTAAGGGCAGGAAAAGAAGAACTACAAAGGAGTAAAGGTAATTAGGGGCAGGATAGAGAGTTGCAGGAACAAGAGTTAGTGAAGCGAGGAAGGAGAATTAGGAAGCAGGGTAGGGAGCAGGTTAAGGATGTGAGAAAGGATATCGAAGCCATTACGGCGTTGTACTAAGAAGAGTTGTGGCCAGTAGAAGAGTTGTTGAGCACATTGTATCTCAAGGCGCCGTCGCGGGTAACCTTGCACAACGAGTTGTGCCATGAGGTTAGCCACGGAATGCGCAAAATTCTGAACGTCCGTGATAATGCGCTGTAATCTACGGAATTGGCTGATGAAAATATTTCGTTTTGCTGCTTCATTAACGGACGAGGATGCATGAACAAAGCGAGAAAGGCGAATATCTAAAAAAGCTGATTGCTGTAGCTTATCATAAAGATGAGTATCATACCAACTGCAGCCGTTACGTAGGGTATGTACTAAAAGGATATCTAAGAAAGGTGTTTTGCCGTCGGGGTGTTGCTGAACTGGAATTTCAAGCTGAGGGGGGTAAATACCGCGCAAGGTGTGGGGTCCGACTGATTCCGATAGGTAGAAGAGGAGGGATGATAGGTGTGGGTTTCCCAGGGAGAGGAGGTCGTCGAGGTAACGTTTAGTAAACTGAAAAGATTTAAGGATAATTTTATTATGGGAAGAGGTAGTAGAGGAGTAGAATTGCTGTAAGAATTTATATTCATGCCAAGCGAGGAAGAGGTTTGCAAAATAAGGGGCCGGGGATATGCCCATGGGAATTCCGCAGATTTGTTGCACGAGGTGCGGGCCAAAGCGAATGAAAGTAGCGGAGAGAAGTGCGGTAAGGAGGAAGGGGGGAAGGGGAGGGGAATGGCGGGAGATGGGGTGGGGGTGTTTACATGCCAAGGGGTGAGTGTGTGTGTGTATGTGTGTGCGTGTGTGTATTGGGAGCGGGGGGGGGAACATATGCGAAAAATTGCGAAAAGTGAACGAACTGCTGCTGGTGTGTCCAAGGCCCAAGGTCCGAAATTGCTGCTGGCGTCGTGAGCGGTATGTGGAGAGCTGATAGCAGGGGGGAGGGGGGGGGAAAGACGAACCACACACGAGTGAAGCTGCTGCCAGAGGGCAAGGGTGTGGGGAGGGGAGGGAAAGGGAATTACATGCCGCCAAGTCAATCAAGCCAAGTCAAGAAGGGAAAAACACCAGAGTGTGCCCGAGAGTCCAAAGTTGGGAACAGCAATGGGGGGGCGGAGGGGGGAAATCATGCCATGCAAAAGCAAGAAGCAAGAAGGATTAAGTGTCGATAAGGGAGAGAGGAGGACTTGTTGAAACGTTTTTGAAGGATTCAGGGAGTTGAGGGACATCAGGGGAATCAAATACGAGATGCCAAGCCAAGAACGGTCGTCAGACGGGTTGTGATGTCTGTGTGGGGGGATGGAGATGGAGCGGTCTGGGGTGGGGTGTGGGGGAATCTATTCAAGAAAACACGGAATGGACAGCAGGCGTCTGTGCCGGGGACCGGAAGAGGAGGTGGAGGTGGAGGTAGTGGAACGGCCGCCAGCGGCCGGTTTAGTGTTGGCGAAGATGAGAGAAATAGCTAGAAGGCTGCTGCCGGGTGAGCGGAGTGCGCGGTGTGTGTGTATGCGTGGGTGAATGTGTGTAAGGGGGGGGGGGGGAGGGGGGAGGAAAGGTGAATCACAAACCAAGAGCCACACACATGAATATCCTCCCACCACACGCCCTTTCCCCCCACCAACCCCCCAGCAGCCGTACTGCCGTACCCGAAGGTAAACCCGCGACGCGTTGGGCGTGTCCTTGTCCTTCCGCTCCCGCATGAACTTCCAG